GATATAGAATTTCTGGCGGTGGCATTGCCCTGTTTATGAGATCGTTAATTTTGGGATCTCTGAATGGAAAAGAGGATGGTGAAAAAGTGACCAAATTTATGATTTTTCCGACACTATTAATCAGACTTTTATCAGACCTTATGAAATTAAACTATTGATCTATTAAACACAAATAGTGATGGGAAAATTGTTAAAAAAAAATAGATGAAGAGGAAGGTGTATGGAGCGACAAAAATTGAGAGTTGTTGATTTAAAATAATTATAATTTCTAAACGAATGCATGAAATATAATGATTTAATTTTTAACTAGTCGCATTCAGAAAGTCACACATATAAAAAGTATCACAGTATACCCCAATTTATTATAATATTAAGTTTCTGTTCGCTTTCTTTTAAGGACAATGAAATAAAACTATGTCCATTAATTTTATTCATTCTGCCGTCTAAAGTACATACAAGTAATTCACCGTTGTTCCAAATACGATGGCAATACATTTTAGATTCGGAATATCTTTTCAATCTTCATTAACATGGCGGAGGATGATCGGAAAAAGTGACGAATATTATTGAAATAGAATAGATATTTGAATTATTTCGAAACGAATACAGAATTTCACAAAAACTAGTGGACCATTTATATTGGTACCACCTAATAATTGCAACTTTTTACAAGATCAAACTTCTCACGTCCAGTCAATAGAATCAATAGCCGAAGAAACGTTACCTGACGGACCGATTACGCGCCGATAAATGGAATCGATCGCGTTCTATTTGTCGATGAATTACGGTGGTTTTTCCCCGCGGCTTATTATCCGTCGTGTGTATTAGATCCCAGAGAGTCTATGAATCGTCTCGTCATCCGGTGATTCGCGGGAGAATAATGGTAACTGATTGCGAGAAAAGAAAAAAAAAAAGCCGGAATCGGGATACCTATGCGCGCGATTTATGAGCGATCGCGGCGTCGCGGTGTGCGTGCGGAATCCCCAAAGCTCCGGGATTTAGGTTCGATCCGGGTGACGGAGAATAATGTTGTATGCGAAATAAGCTTTTAAAAGATACGAGGAAGTTTATCTTTCGGGGTACATTGTATTAGTGGCGTTGTTGACACAACCTGACCGTGGAATAGAGGACTTCGAATGGCGTTATCAGTATCTTCTATCTAATGTAACTTTTTCTTTTTCTTTTTCTTGTACTTTTCCACTATTTTCACTCTTCGTCACCTTCAATACTGTGTCTTTTTCATGCGTGTAATGCTTAGGTAACATTATTAGGAAAGATTTATTTTGTACAAATAAATAAGCGAAATAAATTGCTTAAGAAATAATTGCAGAGTATTTTCCAGATGTATTCTCAACAAGAAATTGTAATAATTGCGGATGTTTAATGATTTGGTTTACTGGATACCGTCGTCCAATATGGCGACGCATCCAAAATGGCCTCCATCGTATACTGTAGCATACTGTATGTACTAGTAGACAGACTTGAATATTTCAGACTAATTATTTATCATAGACGTACTATAGAATTTAGATGGTTTGAAATATATTTTTTTGTACTTATTATGTAACGGAAAAGTACATAAAAAAAATTGATTCATTTATGGAATATTCCTTCGTCGTCTAAAGTCGACTATAATAATAGCGGATCCACATTACTTTTTTTTTATCACCGAGAAAACACGATGAGCGATTAAGTAACGACGGACTGATTAGAATACATTGTGACAGACAAAGGCTGGTTGAACGATGTCGGTCTTCTTCTTGCGTATCTTCGGCTTGCGTACAACAAAGATACAATTCTGTGAATTTAAGTAGCAAAACTGTAAAGCTCTGCGTACAGTTTTAATATTACATTTATTATTTATTATTTCGATATTTATATCTTTAACCGAATTTACGATTCGATGCTTCTATGTTAATATTAATCTGAAAAATTCTACGCTCTGTCGTTAAAACACGAATGAAAAATCGACGGAACGTTTCAACGAACGTGTAACATGTAATACCTCAAACGAACGGTAATATTGAAATCGTATTGTCATCTCGTCAGGATGAATTATTGATGTCGAACGACTCCGTGTATAGCGAAAAAAAATGTTCTGATCATCGTACAACGCGAGAAGTTTCCATCAGAAGATCCTCGTCGATGTCGTTCTGAGTTACATATATGTAATATGTAATTTGTGATTCCGCATTCCGATCCTACGTTACAGAAGCGAGTACTTCAGGCTGACTTGGTACTCCTAAATCATTCCCGTCATTCTGCCCACAACAGTGATTCGCATGAAGTGTGTCGAGGGAAAGTACAAATTCGAATACACATAGTCATCGTGCCAGTATGATTCAAGAAGCACTAACCTTTCCAACATTTAATTAATTTGTTTTACATGACCCGAGATTTTATCAAACAATTAATTCTATCTTTGGAACGGTAACCTTGGACGTAATTCTATCAGATTTTTAAACGATTTAGTGACTTTTTACGAGATAACTAAGCGTTAAATCCTTAACGTTAAGTTCCAACGTCCCATTTCTGATTATACTGTAAAACACCTGTCCTTGTTTTACTAGAACTTTACATTTTTAGAAAAATAGTTCTACAAAAATTCGAAAGTTAGTTTTTTAGTGAATCATTTTTTAAGAAAAAACTGTTTTTAGAAAATCTTATTGTAAGACTCCAGTCTTTTTCTCAATTATATTATAAAACAAAATAATGAAGAGCTTCAATGAAGAATGATATTTATCATATCAAATAATAATAATACTAATGAGGCTCTAACTACATCACAGAAAGAAATAAATATAAAACAAGAAGAAAGGAAAAAGACAAATATGCAAATATTATTATCGCTAATAATTGTTGTTGATGCGACTCTAAACCCGAAAAATATACATATACGAAACAAAGGTATGAAATCTACACACGGTATTGTTGATTATTGTCAAATAAGTGTCGAAAGTAAGTCTCAGCTGAGTGGTATTAATCCCTAATCGGAATACACAGAAATATAACGACACTTTTTGTGGATGTTAATAATTTGGGAATGAAAAGATTAAAACGAAGTTTTAAGTTTCTTGAAATATTTTTGGATTTACTCTCTGTCAATCACAGTGATTAATTCTGGCGTAAAAACACCATTGGATCACGCGTAAGAAAATCGACCGTGATAGATCAAACAAGGAGAATAATTCAGTCATCCCCTAGACAAATTGTAAGCCCGACGAATCGCGAGGACCGTTCGCATAGTAAGCAGTCTCGCTCTGAGTAGCGGCTTATCAGAGGATCCATGATCTATGAATAGGCAAAACTCGAAGCTAATAAACTGGAAAACATTTAGATGTAACAGAAACTGTGTATTTCGTGTGGTATCATCCATGTGGTAATGAAAAAAAAGGATGTAGAAGAAATTCTTAAAAATACAAGGGAAATACATACTGTAGACGATGAAAATATTACAGCTACCTGCACAACTTGACGATTTTATGATTTTACCTGTATTTTTCATAAATACACATGCCCAGTTCAATTTTTCCGTGTATTTTTACCAGACAATTGTTGATTAAAAATATCCACTGTAAAATCCTTCATATTGTGATTTTATGTCTACAGAAACACGAAAGAAAAACATATTCTTTTTTCTATTTCTTTCTCTGCAATTTACGTATATTTATCTAGATTTATATTATATATAGATTTACACCACTTTGAAAATGAAGAGCTCAATTAATACTTAAAAAAACGATTTTTTTCTGCAGACTGGTTAAAATATGCGACAACCTTTTTTTTTTACAGACGGTTACTTTCAACAAACTAACTAACCATAGTTTGTTCAACCAATAAATAAAAACTGCACCCAAACTTTTGAACGATAGAGTACATAGCGACGAAGCCACAATAATCGGTACAAAATATTCGATTCCTACACTTTACCCAAAATCCAAGTCACCGTACAATAGTAGATATGAACACCAATAATAAGCATGTACCTAATAGATCCATAAATATCTTACAGATCAATAGTCCCAAGAACAAAGACATCAAAATAGTCACCAAAGAATAAATATATCTTTATAGACCCATACGTATCTTACAGATCCACAGACTCGAGAAACAAAGAAAGCAATTACACCCAACAATAAAAGCCATCGTCTTCGAAAAATCCAATTAAAATCCGTAGCGACTGTCCCATACAGTGCCTCCCTCCAAAAACGGATCATTACCAGTAATGGTGCCACGAATCGAACACACATACACACAGTTCGGGATCACCCGCAGCCCAAGATCCACCGAATAAAATTCGTCCAACAAGTTCCCGGCGGCTCACGTCGTCACGCGGGTGCACCGTGATCAACGATCGCCGCCGCCAACGATCCCGCAGACAGGCCCCTTTACTCTATACGTGCGGAATCTGTACAACACCTCTTCGTTCGGTTACGATTTAATTGCCGTTGGCTCGTCACCAGGTGGAGGGGAATGTGGAGGATAACCAATCGTCGAGAGAAAGGTGCTATCGGAGACATACCAGGGAAAAAGGGTCGAAGTCTAGGAACGAGATAAAAGTGAGGGAGGATCCCCCACGGTGTCTCGAGCGGGGGCATGGGCCACGCGAGCAACGAAGTGGGGAGAGGAGGTGGAGGCGGCGTCGGCGGCACTCTCCTTCGAGTATATATGCTCGAACCGTACGGACGGTACGCTACAGTTCACCAAGAAGACAAAACCGGACAAGGATAGAAGGAGGGTCCCGTACACCGTGTGGTGGGTGGTGTTCGTTTATCGAAATTACCGTGATCATCGAGGTTATACCGCGATCGCGAACGATTACGAGAGAAAATCGAATTGGGTCGCAACAGACTGTTTGGAGTAACAAGTGCGAAGGAAACCAGTGTAACACGGATCTCGGGGTTGTGTGAAGTTCCTGAAAGAGGATCCTTGGAGATTCGATTTGTTTTTTTTGGGGAGATTTTTTGTTTGTGTTGAGACGGTTTTCACGCAAAGGAACAATGAGACGTCCGTTTGGTACCGGCTTGTTTGCCACGATGCTGATGTGCTGTGCCCTGGCTGTCGTTCTGACGCCGGATCAGGCGTACGCCAGGCCACCCCCTTTGCTTAGGTAAGGAACGGTGTATGGAAAAATTCTTTTGGAACTCGTTCGAAAGTGGGATTGAATTTTCTGTGTCGTCGATAGACGTGTCCCCTGGTGATTTCCATGTTGCTGGAGGTCGACGGTTTATTTATTTTTTTTTTTCCGTTGAGATTGAAGGTTCTTTTGGGGAGAGAGAGATCGTATGGTAGTTGGAACGGGCAGAGTCTCAGAGATGGATACTTGGTTTTGTTTCAAAGTGAAGGATTCTGACGGGAAATTGAGGTACAATCTTTTTCGGTGTGGTTCATGTTTTATAAAGTAGGGTTTGTAGGACGAATCATTCGAATGTTATGGTGCGGAATAGAGGCGGAGGGACTTAAGAGTCATAAAGGAAATTTGGACAATGCGTGGTTTTGTATTTGATATTTATTTATTTAGTTTTTATCTGAGCATGAGTCCAATATTCATACATGAAAATTAAATCGAAATAAAAATAGAGACAGTTACAGCAATATAGTATAAATTAATCGTAAAAGAGAAGTTTTCATTCGACATTGACTTAAATTAAACAGTTTTTAATGCGCTATGTAAGAATTTTTTCAAGTAATCAATAAAGCCATTTAAAAAATCAATCATATCAATAAATTTATTAGCTGATTTCAGCATTCGATAAATTGGATCAGTTGAATCATATTTAGTTTTAAAGTAGCGTAACAAAATATATGCACAAATTTTTGCATATATTCTTGGAGGGTATTCCTTTTATTTCTTTAATGAGGAAGTCGTGATAAAAGGACGAATGTTAAAGATAAATAGGAAGTTGTGAAGGACTTGTGAAGAAATAGTATTTTTAAGAACACTAATTGAAAATAAAATTTTTACAAGTGATCTCCAAGTAATAGACATTTCGAGATAGTCCTTAGTTCGCTGGTAGATTACTGACAGAATATTTCTATGTTTTCACTGAAAAATATCAAACTCAGGGGTATCGAGAATAGTAGAGAATTTTTTAATAAAAAAATAGACCTTTAAACATTTTTACGATTAATCAGGCTGAATAATTACTAAATTTAAGGCAAATACGAAACTCAGAATACATAGCCTTATTATCATGATATCTACCGAATTGAGGAAAAAAGAAACAGATAAAACAAGAATAGGTTGACGATATTTGAAAAATAAACCAGGGCCAAGCATGACTTTTAAAATCCGACAGGTGGAAGAACCTTCGCGTTTCCTTGTCCAGATACAGATAACGATGGGAACGCGACTAGCCCGGTAAAGAAGTGTCTCTCAACTTGTTGCGTTCCCGCGTGAAATTTCGAGTAATAGTGAGAACATAATTTCGAACAATTCTGAATTAAATGAAACGAAAGAACAAAACCAATATATACCTGATAAAGTACACATATTTGGAATCTCACTTATGGATTTAATCCCATTCATGAAATGAGAAAAAAGCGGCATACACGCTACCGGCCAAAAATATGAGACCAGATATGGCAACCAAAGGAAGAGAAAAGTATTATTTTGCAAAGATTTGATAAAAGTAATTGTGCTAAAATTAATAGGAAATGATGTGCATATATACTGATCCCATAATTTTTATTATATCGTAACAGAATAATGACTGTTCTATTAATCATGAACTTTGGTCTCATACTTTTGTAAAATTCATTATCTAGATAAAGAGGTTCGAATAAAAGATAAAAAAAGTATTATGCTATTTTTCATCGATTAAATGCGGTGATTCTAATTTTTATAAGAAAATTATATTTCTTCTTGAATAAACAAACACTTGGCAAAAAACTGTTTAATCTCATTAACTGTTTAAATGTCAGGGTCTTAGATATTCCTACTTTTCACTATGTATTATTAGAATAAAATTGTGCTTAATTCTGGCGTACGTACTGTTGACCAAAAGTAGACTCAAGGTCTCACAATTAATAAAAGAGAAAAATTTTCTGTGTATGAGATATATGTATAGGTACTGAGTATGAGATGCTGTGATTTATTACTAAAGATTACAATCTCGGAAACGTGACAAGCATGAGTTCCCAGTATCTCTTTAAAATCAGGTGAAAATCATTTCCTCTTATCGCGTTGCACCATAATGCACAATTCTATAACGATCTAGTACAATAATCGATTCTACCAAACAGTTTCCTGATCCATCTACTCTTGTAGAAATACCGTTTAATTTACAATTCGAATTTTTCCGTAAATTCACCAAAAAAAAAAAAGAAAAATTGTCGTCCAGTTTCTTATCATCTACTCAATATTCGAGATATTTTATCTAGACAAGAAATTTACCCACAGAGTAAGGTTACAAAATCGGTGCAGTTGCAACGAAAAAATTGTCCTCTTCCTTTCGATAACACTAAAAGAACAAAAAATCTTGTATTTAAACGAAACATTGTCCTTCACGTTTCGAAAACACTGAAGGAACAAAAAATTCCACCGGCTACATCACGTTTCAAGTTCCAATCGCGATGATCGTTATCTGTCCCCGATACACATTATCGATATGTTTAATTTTCGACGCGTCGTCGCGACGAAACTTTCGTCATATCGCGACCGCGAATCCTCTTAGGATCGAAAAACATTTTCGACGAGCCTTGCAGGCTGCGTTCGATCAACACTACGATCGACACCACGATCGACACCATGATCGTACATCACGATCGAAGTATACGAGGAACAAGTGATGGTGGATCGAGAGAGACCTCGATCGACGATCATTTTTGCATGTGGACTCCCGTGAACATTGATAATCGTTCTCGAGATAACGAGGGCTTTGTGTCCCACACACGCGAGGAGATTAGAGGCGATTGAGGAGGGCGAAATTAACGGCGATCGACAAACATAGTGTGATCCTGTGTACGATCGTTGCCAATATCAGCCCTGTTCTGGAGTGCATTCTTTCACTGTCGATATGAAATTCTCGATTCCGCTGGTAAGCTTTGATCGAGACGTTTATCGAGGTTTTAGCCCACGGGGGCTTTCCTATTGGAAGATTCGATGAAGGTAAAGGACAGACAGAATCGTGAGAAAAGATAAATTGGTCGCTTGGTACACGTTCGAATTATTATGTTACCTGCGTTACCTTTGGAAAGAATCGTTAATTTTTTTCGGTTAGATCGTGATTAAGATATTACGATGTCGCAGATTTGAAATTAATTGCGATGGATGGAATTTTAATGAACTGATAAGATCGTATACTAACTGGTCATTTACTTCATATCAAGTTAGTAGGTGCTTCTCTGTAATCTATGTACTTCTATAAATTATTTCACAAAGATTTTTTGTCTGTATACTTTGTTCATTGTAAATTCGAATATAATAACATTTTATTCCGATTGATCTAGCGATAGAATATGAATCCGAAACAACTTTCACGTTTCCTCTTTGGCGAAATGACGTAGGATGCTGGAGAATGCATACGAATATTATCGAAGTGGCATAGGCATTTCATTTCTTTGAAAACAAACGTTAACAGTGGTAACAAAGAATGGTTTATGCATTGGCACTAGTGAAAGTATTACAAGGGTGGTTGCACCAATAAATGAATATGTAACAGTGAATGAACATTATATATATAAATTACATTACTAAAACAAGCAAATGATTAAATATTGATTCTTTTTTCAACTCCTTGTTTAATATTCAAACAATTTTCGCGCCATTGGTTAGAAATGTTCATTTACTGGGGAAATCTCTATGTTCTTTTAAATTTAATGAATTGCAGTTTTTCAATTTTTCAAATTGAAATCCATACGTTCATGTCCCAAATATTTATTAATCGTTTAAAATTCGACTTTAATAGGTACAAAATCTCTTAAATGTTTATTCCTTGGGGCGTTTACCCTACCATGCCTGATAAATCTTATTTCGCCCTAAGAAATCATTTTTCAGTATAAAACCGGAATTTATTACTTCTTTCAAATTAATTCTTTTTTTATGTACAAAAAATTGAATTACTAGATTAGTAAATCGAATGCTCGTATGTAACTGACACCGTCAATACAACATAGTCCGATGGTCTTTGTAATAATATCCAGTTTCACGGAAATTCACTAGAATTTTAGTAATTTCGCCAATTGACACTGGAATTTCTCAAGCTCGTTCGAACTGTCTCATATCTATTTCTTTCGGCGAATCGAGTTAATTATAGGCACCTGATCTAAATATACACGAACGGAAAAGATAAGAAGGTGCCACGCGTTTCGATCATCATGAGTCAAAAGTCTATTCTCAATATCTTCGCATTCATTAAATTCGTGAGAACGTACGTCACATTGACAAAAAAAAAAAAAGAATAAATACTAAAAGAACACTAACGATATAATTGAAAAAAGAATTCTAACATACATACGGAAGATGTCGTCTAGAAAAAAATTCACATTTATTTGAAAGCACTTTGTGACTTATGTAAAGCATTCGGAGATTCGACAAAATATTTTCGACAAAATTCGTTCAACTTTGTCACTTTACAAGACCCAAATGTTGCATCGATTAACCTAATTGTTTTTGTATTTGCAGCAGGCAGAGGCGAGTTTCGGACCAAAGGCTGGCCGAGATAGAGACTCTTCTGGGGTTGGAGAACGTTCGAGGGAAGGTAGTCACGGTCCCCGTTGCATTCGGTGTGTTGGATCCAGATAAAATGTGAGTGATCGATTAAGTAATGTGATAAAATTTAAGCAAAATCTTCATGGATTTATCATTTGAAAAATTTTATTCTACCATACTGCTTGAAAAATTTTGCCCCTATTTCGATGCGACAACTAGTCTCGTTATGGAATTTTGGGAAGAATTGCCATTACTTTTTCTTTATCTTGAATTACAATTGATTAGATGATAAATTGAATTTTTTGACTGCATCAGAGTGGCAAGACGGTTAAAATAAAATTGAAAGAAATAGTGGATGCTCGAGTGGTAACAGTTGCAAGCTTATCTTCGTGATCGGTGGAAATTACGATCGACGATTTCATAGTTATCGTGGAACCATCGATGGCTTATCGCGCGGGCGGGAACACTTGTTGATCGTGGGAATTTAGAAGGTTCCGTACATGTGTTATACAAACGTCCACGTATCTCTATGTATTAGCCCGTGCAAACGATAACCTTTTGCAAAGAAACTCAATGTTCAAGTTCACCAATGTCAATTTTTTAATGCAATTTTCCCCTTTAAATAGTTGTATGGAGGATTTAATAAAATAATTGTATAAATTGTATCAATAAACGTTAATTAAATAGAAGAGAATAAAATTGAATGAAAATCAGGAATGGATCACTATTTGAAAATTGAAAATTCTTATTGGTTCTCTAAGAACAATATTTTTTCATCGAAGAAATCTTCGAGTTAACAAATTACTATATCCGGATATTCAAGTTTTTATAATTGTGATATACATTACAGATCAAAAGTTTACAATTATTAGTCGCGTTTTTTTTTTACGAAACTCATTATGCATAGTAAGAATAAATGTGCATAATAAAAATCAGAAGTATTTCTTATGTTATATAGATTTACTTGTTTCAAGCAGCGTCTTTTGTATTAACGTCAGTGTTACGTGTCACGAAGGGTGTTCCCCAGTCACCTGTAATCGCACGAACCGCGAATACCTCGTACAAACGAAAGAAGCACAGGTTCTATTGCATAATCGCGAAACGCAGTACCGAGAATCAAGATCTATTTTAAAAACAAAACGAAAAGAAGCAAAAAAAGAAAATTTTATTCCCGTAGTGCAATGTCTGAGTCTGGGTTCAGGAATCTCGGAACCTACACCAATCCGGTCACATAAAACAAACAACGGTCTATTTCGAACGGAATAGCGAAGTTTTTTGATTTACTTCGGTCTGTCGCGAATTTCCGCGAGGACTCACAACTTTCACAAATTTCATTCGATTAAAAAATATAAATATTACAAGTCGAAAGTATTCGAACTATTGTTTCACCATTATAACAAACAGATTTACCGTTCCCTTGCATCTATAGGCTATCAAATTATAATAATATTTAGCTTCAACATTCTTTTCTCTATGTACCAACTGTACCCTTTAATCATATTCCCATCTTCTTCTATGAATACTTGATGGAATGTAAAATTCAACCTTTGTTATACACGTAACAACATTTTGTACCTTCCATAAAACGTGAACAAACGTCTCAAAAATACACTTGCTGACTTGTAATTTGTATCCATTTTCAATTACGAATGTTTCGTCGGTCAGACTATTTTCATATGTTTTTACGTAACTACATATATTACCGTGGTCCGGAAGGGTGGAACCCTTCGAGAGAGAAAAACGAGAGAACAGAAGATAGATCTACAGGAAATGTAGTGCACGTTTTGTGGCGAAGTATCCGGGGGACATTAAAATTCAACTTGTTGCTTCTGCCCTCTACATTCTCCTGTCGACTGCATGACAAGCCCCGAGTCAGGTCGAGGGTTAAACGGATAGGGTGTGGAGAACGACAATAGGGGAGGCCGTTGCTGGTCACGTATAGCCGCGACGAAATGAGAAAGAACGGCCTACTAACCAGAAGATACATACCTTGGAGATGTCATGGAACTTTAGCCAAAGCTCAGACATCGGTCGCTGTATTGTATTAAGCCGGTTGTTTCGTCGACTCTGTTTCGCCTAATATGATTTTTCATTTACTGGTGTAGAAGCGTAACGTTACTATTTATTTGGAGGGGATTAATGTGTATTAGGTGTACCAATCACTGATCCAATGTTTATTTAATGGGGATTAATATATATTTGGTGTACCCGTCAGTAATCAATCTGTTTCACCTAATATGATTCTTCATTTACTGGTATACAAACGTGAAGTTATTATTTATTTGGTGAGGATTAATATATTAGGTGTACTAGTCAGTAATTCATTATTTTTTTTTTTTTACGAAGTCTGTGTTCGTTGTTGTGGTAGTTAAGGATAGTGTTTAATTTATATTCATAGTGATTCCTGCACGGTACACCATTGTTATTCTATTCAAAATCGAGAAGATACTTTTAATTTGAAATACATGTCGCATCACGATTTGAAAACCTGTGGATTACTTATTGATACACATGATATGCAGGGTGAGTCAGTAAGAACTACTATCTAAAATAACTCGTTTCTTATTGGTTGCATCAGAAACCATTTTAATGAATTATGCATATTTTAATAATTATAGCATTTTAAGGGACACATCGGATGGATAAAATCCGATTTTTTTATATCCCTTTTTTTTTTGAGATACCAAGGTTACCTTAAGCTTTTTCAAGATCAATGCATAATATAATAAAAATAATAGTACATGACTGTGATTAATGCTTATTTATAATTTGATATATTGATTATATAGACTTTGAGTAAAATAGAGTCGAGTAAAACAAAAAGCTGGAATTTTACAAAATAAAATTACGAATTACGTTTAATTTGGTAATTCTTATGTGCATTACTGCAAGCATCATCCTATCATCTCCGTCAGATAAAAAATACCATCGATAAAAATAATACAGCACGGCAAAAATTACGATTCCACGTTATCAGTCAATGGGTTATCACGGAATGAAGAACGTCTGAACATGTGCGGGTAGTGGCCGCCACTAGAAATTACCAGAAGTACAAATTATTTTCAAAATCCCTTATCTTATACACAATCGATACACTTGTTTTAAATAAGAAAAAATGAACAAATTGGCGGACACATTAATTTCAGTTCTGGTTCAGTCAACATTTCATCTTAATAAAAACACAAAGAATATACGACTATTAAAACGTTTAGTAGACCGAGGTCATTATACATTCACAGAATTTGTCGATTGTATAACACAATATCTTCCATTATATTGTATTTCGGTTGTAACTGAAGAAAAATCTTTAGAAAAGAAATAAATTTCTCTTAAAATTAATTATTAGACTGCGAATCTTTATGAAAATTCAGATTTCTATAGATTAATTTACTGACCTGAAATTACATCAAAGATATTTTGCCCTTTATTAAAGGTTTCGCTAGATGCAAAGTAAAGTAGAATTTACACTAATCTTTATGAAAATGTTTACTGTATCACGTTTTTACACATTCAAATCTATAATAAATGCATAAAATCCGCAGTCTAAATCAGTACATAAATCGTAACCAGTGATTGACGTGAAACCAAAACACAGATCAACCATAGAAATATTATTCATAAGGAGAAGCATGTTACACTCACTCCCCGTGGAGTGTCTGCTGAAATAATGTATTCGCGTGTGTACGGAACGACGCAGGCTGAATAATATAATGGGACCAGGGTGGGGGCTATACGGCAAGAAATGGCTGCATCGTAATGGACCCCTCTAACCGGGTTACCTCGTCGTATGCCATTCGAATAAATTCCTATTCGACAGCGCTGTTACTATCTGACAAAATTTGCTTTAAAGTTAAAACAAGCGAGCAACTATACGCAAAATCCTTCTCGACTCGACACATTCAATGTTTGCCCACGCTTTTAATCTACCCTCGTGAAATTCGTAATTTCCTCTTGTTTTATCAGATTCGTTTCGTGATTTCACAAGGTGACGATTGAACGAGTCTCCGAAGACTGTAGATTGAACTTTCCATTCGAGGGAAAATTCCGTGGAAAATGGCGGGAAGATGTTTGAATAATACAACGGAGTATGTATGTATCTTTCAATGGAGAGTGGCTTGGAGGGGCTATTGTGAGTCTTGAAATGATTTCCTTTTGGTAAAGGGGGATCGAAAGGAAAATAAACTGGCAGTTTTACGTACTGGAAAAACTTGCATTTCCGGGAAATGATACGATTCTATATGTATACGAGCACAACAGAGGCGGTTAACCAGCGGGGGAACTTTATTTTTGGGCGATGCTTTGTACTTTTTTTTCCTTCGCGAGACGGAAACGGAATGGGATGCAAATTCGATCCGCCTGTGTGTGTGTGTGTGTGTGTATTGTCCGGTTCGGGATCGAGCTAATGTAGTTCGTACGCGGCGAACCTTCGAATTGGATTGCCGTTCGCGAACAATTTACTCGAGAAATTTAGGTGAAAATTAAATGTAGCTGGAACTGATGGTGTTTTCGATCGCGTCGGAATTGTAGCCTCGGTCTTGGAATTTTTGCCTTCGTGTTGCCGTTTCACCGACAATTGAGGTCGATTATAGTGAAGACGAAAATAAAATGGAGTAAATAATTGGTATAAATTACAAATTTACACGTTGAGCAAAGATATTTCGAGTATATAGATTCGTTCATTACTTGTTAAAATATTGAATGAACTTCGAAATTGAGGATTTTATTCATAGTCAAATGAAAACTTTAATAACGAATAGACTGCGTATTTTGTGGATTTACATTGCACCTTTATCACTCACACAGATTCGCACCATACCACGAAAAATTTCACAACTGCTCGAACCTCAAAGCAGCCAGTTCCCTCCTCACATAATTCCTACGGTCGAAGATCGATTAATCGATGAAGGCCGGTTATTGCATCAGTGGTAATCGTAATTCGTATAATTTTTCATTGATTCCCCAGGCCCGTTCCGTTCCCACTGATAAGGCTTGTGTCGAATAATTAGCACCATGGATAATTAAACGTAGAATAATTATGCCAGGACATTGATTAACGATTGCACGCTCTGCAGTATTCTCGCCGTCACGTGTCACCTTATCCTTAGATTCGACACGTGTGACACGCGTGATCGTGTGAAACCTCCGATCGAATCCCCTCCACCCCCAACCAAAGAAGGGGAAAAAAGGGAAAAGAGAGGCGTCGAGAAGAAAAAAAACACGAAGTTGATTCACTCGCTAAAATATTCCATTTCACGGGATTAGCATATGGTCGTCGAAGTTGAGACATACGTAATCTCGTTAACCCTTTCATTCCAAAATTATTTAAAAATTACCAAAGAAACATTTTTTTTTATTTTGTTGTGGTATATTACATAACGTATAAATGATTCATAAGAACATTTTAATATTTTGAAACCGTCTAACGGCATTTTTCATCCGTTGCCATTTGACAATTTGTTCACTTTTATCGCAGTTATATATAATAATTCCCATTATAATGTTATTACACTTAATAAAAACCAATTTTTCTTACCTTCGATTTGTAAACTCTGAATGAAAGGGTTAAATCTCGCCACTTTTTGCTTCTTGCGTATGTATATGCTGCTCCACAGACGAAGATCAGCCACGAACAATCGATTCGAGACCCTGCAACGCATCATGCGAATCGTCGCGAACAATCCGAACGTGCTCGACGGTGAGAAGATTCTCTCCTTGCCATTGGTAAGTCGACCATTCTTCTACTAATACGTTTTTTATCCTTGCTACAAAAGTGACAAAACTAAAAAAGAAACCGTGTTTTTCGAGTTAATTTTTTTGGACGAATTCAACGAGATACAACATGGTGTATTTCCATTTCATAAAAGGTCGTAAATTAACGAGAACTCAAGAACTTCGCTTAACGTGACTTTCGTTGTACAATATCATTTTGTATAACATCTACGTTTGTTTGGCCGTTGCCAAGCGGTACTACTATGGGCCAATCCATAAAATAGGTGGAATTAATTATAAAGAATGAAGTTTTTGACGTTTCTAAAAAAAAAAAATTATTTCAATTACGAAATGATTTCCTAAAACAATAAATTGTCTCACGATACTGTAGTTGCGAACTGTTGCAGCTTAGTTCTGGCTGAATACCAACAGCAACGTTTAATGAACGTAATACTGGAAAAATTTTTGATAAACCTACCACACACCAAAAAAAGTTACAACATTTTCAATCCAGTCCGATAAACAAAACCCGAATATCTTTTTCTGTGATGATGTAATAGTGAATTACGATTTTATCGTGAAAATCCCAATGTTTATGCGAAAATCAGGTAAATACCTGTAATACAAGAATCCATTGCTATCCGATAAAATATTCGCTTGGAAGCAGACTGTGGCATGAATACTCGAGACGTGAAAAAGACTGACAGTCGACTAGCTAACTGTTCATAAAACACATGCAATTTTTCAAGCGAGTATAAGCTTACAAATAATCCTAATTTTGACGTATTTTACGACATGAAAATTTTGTTATTAATTCCACCTATTTTATGTCAATGGCCCACTGTGCTGCATACAATCCCGTCGCCGTGATCCTGAATGATTCGCAGTGATGCTGTGAGTTTTTCATCGATAAGTGCCCTGCAACGTAGCTTGTATTCGGTTCACTTCGGTTCGCTCGAGCTAATTGCAATCGTGGCCCGATAATTGGCTGACAAAGTAGAAACATCGTAGACCTGATCCCGATGGCACGCGCCTCGACTGACTCCGCGTGAACTCGATCGCGCAGGGAACGTGCCGGGGCCCCGTCTTTCTGACGACCATGCAACGTTTTGCCGCGCAATTCACTCGTAACCCGTACTCTTATCGGTCGATCCCTTCCGGTTCTCGATTCGCGGCTGAATTCGACATGTTACGTCACACCAACGCGGAAAATCAAGAGCGATATTTCGTCGATGATTTCGTGTTCACGTGAAAGTTGCTGTCTCGAAACTGATGACACATTCGATATTGATTCGTGGAAAACGTTTTACTTGTGTCTGTCTTTACGAAATGTAATGTCATATTTTATATGACGATGGGGAAAATTGGTTAGCCGAGGGAATTCACTCTACAATGAGTGGGAAGATTAGAATTGTTAGGGGAAGTGTAGGAATGTTTTTTTGCACGATTTTGTTGCCTGACATTTGAGTACTAGTAATTTCCTTTTTTTTTAAATTGAAAGACACCTTTTTTTACGCACCTTCATAAATAGGTCGTTGACTAAACTAATGATTTTTTGTAGGAAATACCGAGACGGATCGATTACTGTATTTAAAAGTATATGATTCCATTTAAAAAACGTATGTCACTTTCATATGACCTCTACCTGGCCATCTACAAAAAAACTAATTATTCCAGATTATACCTTGGAACCATTCATTTCTTGTTTAAACCATTTTTTTTCATACAGTGGACATTTTTCTAGTACTTTGCATGTTTTTTTTTATAATCGGACACCCTGTATATACAATATAATCATAGTATATATGTACTCGCCAACTGGTCAAAGAATGTCCTAATAAACTCGAGTCGAAAAATCAACATTTTCAATGTTCTAAATTATATTTTCTTTCGGTTAAAGCGAGTGACTTCCTCGTTTCAGGGGCTATCATAATATCGACAGAAATTTTCTCACGCAGTTATAAATTAAAGAAAAACAACTAGACACCAAATGGTGTCAGATTGAACAAAAACCTCATTTTTCAACATTTTCTGTTAGCTCTTTGCCGTACAGTAAATCCTCGATGAGTATTCGAAGGCTTTTCTGCATTGCCAAGGTGAGGTACTCAGGTGTAATACGCTGACTTTTTAACGAGGTGTAACACAGTGATAGTGCTTGGAATTCTGAAGCCAATGATATTTGTTTCAGTCGCATATAGCCATTAGTTTATAAAATATTTAATGTTCAATTGCAAAGAGTCTTTGAACACTCATCGACTATTTACTGTAAACCCCCCCCCCCCCAATGGCTCTCATACCATCGTATTAAAGTTCGAAAAAAAATATTATTAATTATTCGTTCTTTTTTTTCTAATTGCAGAAGATTACAGAGCCCAGGCGAGGCGAGTCCGACGTCGAATACCAGTTCATTTAACTTCGCGGCGCGATGTCGCGTCTAGGTGTTACAGGGCGAGAACGAAGATAAGTCGAGAGGACGAAAACGCTTAAAGAATGAAGAATTAATAATCCATGGATCTCCGTTTCTCTTTTTCTCTCTCTCTTTCTCTCTTTTTCTCTCTTTTTTTCTCTTTTTTCTCTCTGTCTCGACCCTAAGCCGCCTGAAACAGTATTACGGACCGTCCTCCGTCCGAGCTTAAAGTTTAAACGAACTCTACACAATTAATTAGGATACGTATGATCGAGTGACGAACGATAAAAAGATCGGGACGAGGCGAAAGGGATTGGCGCCTCCCACGTGTCAAAATCTTTTCGAGAGAAACAACAAGAACAAAAAAAGTCACTAAACGGAATGTGTTCTTTTTTTAAATAATTCGAACGCCCTGGCAGTTCGTTTTTCTGTTCGTTCCTCGCGTGTGTTCCCCTTATTCTAGTAATTTATTGTCTTAATTTTATTATTTATTGACCGCGCTAGTCTAGTTTCGACGCGTCGTAGGAGAATTTACCCGTATACGGTGTGCTCCGAGGCAAATTATATTATTTTTACCAATTTGCGTTTAGACTGTGTCTACCAGGGGTGTCAAACTTGTGGCCCGCAACGACTTATATTTTGTACGAATTGAAAAAATTGTTAAAATGTAAGCAAGTTTATATTTCTTTATAATACATAGCGGAACCTCCACTGGGATTGTTCGGCTAAGTTGTGAAATTTAAAAATTGAAATAACTGAATAGTATAAATATATATTGTGCGGCCCACGTGAATTCTACTTGTTAAACAAATGGTCCGTGATTAAAATGAGTTTGACACCCCTGGCGTATACGAAATACGTTCCTCGAGAGTGTCTCAATTTTGCTTTCGCTCGAACTTCCATTTTTAAATCTCATCGAACGGAAGCGTTTGTCGACGACGATCGGACGGAATTGTGGATCATTGGGCGTTAGAAATCTCTTGATAGATCCTCATTTTGCGATCGTCTCTGGGTATTACGATTCCGTAGATTCTTTTAGATACGTATTTACGTGCACCTCGACCGGTGGCTTAAGCATAATTGTATAAATTGATATTTAAATATCGATTGTTAGCTGTTAGCTGGGAGAAAAGCGTTTTGATCGATTAACACGTTCGCTGGATTACTGGGACATAACAATATTATGTTTGAACTTTCATTTATGGGTTGAAAAGTATCTTGCAGAATTTTCGAAAAAACAATCGACATCTCAAAGATTAAATTAATAGTTTCTAAAAATGTATAGAATCTGTCGCAGCGAACATGTTAAACTTGAACGATGTTAAAGTGAATTATGGAGTGAAGAAATGAGAGCAACAATACGTCGAGAATGAAAATTATGTTAAATTCCGAAAGTTTAGAAATTGAGTGATCTTCATAATTTTTACCGTAATAAATAATTAACTTCGTTAGTATTGATTATTTATTTTTTTTTAAAGTAGTCTAGAATCGACTTAAGTATTGTCATTCTCGAGACTCGTTACAAGATTGTATTAAGCCATTGCAAAGGAAATGTATTAGAGAAACTTATCTAGGTAATTCGTTTCGTATGCGTGTTTCATGTTCATTCTTCGACACAACTGTTCTTAAATTGTCACGATAGTATTTTCTTAGGGAATTGTTCAACGAACGAGGACACGAGGCTGTGAAATTTTCACGATGGAATACGTTTCGTATTAACCAGTAGAACAATTTTCGATTTTACATTTTAAGCTATTTACCCAGAAAAGCAGACTATGAGTTTCTGCTTTTACTTCTGTTAACGATTTAGGAACAGTCGATTCAACGTGTTTCCATTACGTTTCACCGATATATCGGTCGTTCATCTAGTGAATTAATTTATTGTAAAAAATCGACGCGAAAGTCCATGGGGAGAAAATCTATGGCGCAAACGGTGGTATTTCATTTAACTATGTGATGCATTTTTATTTATTGTCTCGTGTATAGTTTACGATATGTATAATTTACGATATTCTTCGAGACTTCATATTTTCGAGAAATTGTCGAGTTCCACTATGCTGGGAGAGTAATTGGTATTAACGACGACGTATTGTTAATATTAATTACAAGATTCACGAAAACGAATCTGCGTTACTCTAAGATTATAGATGTGAATGTTTCGCTGTAATGCAGTTGTATATCGTTAGAACTTTTTTTTCTATATATATATATATAAGTTATTTATTTATTTATTTATTTAATTGTACTAGAGCTAGACAAAGTATTAAAGACACTGTCGCACGTAACGCGACATCGATGTATTCGAGACACTGTGTATATGATGTAATTTTATTGATCTTACAAGTATGCGTATTATTTTATTTATTCCGATGCAATAAAAATTATAATCAGCTGTAAACAGTATTCTTGTTAACCCTTTGTACTATCTGCTGAAGGAAATGATAGCGAATATTACGAAGCTATTAATATCGCCACGAAATAATGTTAATTAATCCTCACATTGGCCTTACACATAAAGTTCTAACTACTTAATATTAGTTACAAATGTACTTCAAATTTCTAAAATTCATTATTTCTTTTTCCTTTAAATATTCAGTTATTAAATCTACTTCGGTACTAACGCACAGCAATAGAATAGAATTTGTTGTGATTCTAAAACCATTTGTTTATGCGGATTCCTTTATCCTGTATATCAACTATAGATTTTATATTTATTCTAATATACCCTTTTGATTTATAGTTTTTGATCCTGTCACATCGCTATCCGAGCTCCCTCTGTAGAAGCCACGAGTGAAACATTCAATGCTGTCGGTAAATGTAGATCTTTAATTCATAAAATTTTTAGATGATACAAACAGATACATACATGTTCAAGGTATGCTAAATAGTCATTTTTCATGTGTACCGATACATTTCGGAAAATTTTTTTCTTAAAAATTCAATGGCGCGTCTATCCAGTCCGACTAAATACACTTTGTACTACTTACAGTGAAAAAACAACTGGAATTAATCGCATCTTTTCTATTCTTAATCCTCAGTGAATACAATGTATAAAAATTGATTTTCTATCTTCGGGATAATAACATTTATACTATAGACACTAAAAATAAATCGAGAATTTTGAATTCATACAAATTAATTACATTTGTACTTATTTAAGGGTGACGAATAAAAAATATCCCAGGCATAATATTAAACACTGTCTACGAGAATAAATGTTCATTACATATTCTTAAACTCTGACTCGTATGTTGCATTCCTAACATCGACAATTCGAATAGCATTCAGAAATTATAGTATATTCCTTTATTAAAAATAGGTCGGTATAGTTCCTACAAAATATCCGAAAATTATTCAACTCATATTTTCGTTAATCTGTACCAAGACTTAACTCAATTCCTACACAAACTTTCCTAAAAATGTCCCCTAATCATTCCAAATGAATTCTATGTACCGAATAATATCATTAATCGCCAAAACATTCGCCATTTTGTTCACAGGTTCACAGTGATGTGCCAATTTTCGTAGAATACCTGTCCATCGGATCGTTTCGCAACGAACTGTGATCGATGCTCGATGACATATAATTTTTGATCGTGGAACGTCACTTTCCTGACGTAAAGAGAGGATGTAAAACGCTAGTGTACAGGGTGTCTCGGGTCGAGTACTACAACCGGCAGAAGACGATTGTATAAGCAAAAAATAAGTCTAAAAGGAAGCAATATATTTTTTTTTCGTTCCAAGTTTCGTTTTCGAGACAATCGAGTCTGAAAATCTGGTGCACGCGCGTGCAATCGAATGGGGCCAGAGTTGAGCAAATTCATTATCTAGATAAAGAGTTTTCGAATAACACATAATTTTATTTTGAAATAACAGTATTGAGAATGTAGTCGAATAATTATTTCTTACTTTCATTTCAAAAGAAAATTTTGCCCAGTTCTCATTGGGTGTCGTTCGCGTTTCGTGCAAGTGGGTTCATCCGTGCTGAGCGTGATTGGCCGGAACGATCGGCCGACGTGCCACGCTTATGCCCCGATAGATATCGAATTATGTACATATTTCATAAATACACACACACACACACATGCAGCGTGGGTGGACGATATTTCGTAATTCGTAACTGCGCAGTAAAGTGTATCGAACGTTACGTGTGTCGCGGATGAACGGGCCTCCAAAAGTTGCACAATCCTGCCGTCTTCAATTTCGCGATTAGATCGTCCTATCAGGGAGAACTTAATTACACTATATCATCATCCATATAAAATCACTGGCCAGTTTATCTGTTTCAAGGAAAAGGCGAATTGTGATGTAAATTTCCTTACTTTTAGCTTCTATGAATGTTATTTGTTAAATAATTACGTCACTCAATTCGCTGAATAATTAATCGTTAAATATTTCAGAAAAATTGAAATATGAATTATTCAAATTTAAGACGTTTTTGTCACGTTCTTCGACACTCGCCGCCATTTTGATAGAAGAAAAGGGTGTTGGTATCGAATAGAAAAATTGTTTAACTTTAAACTGTGCTAACCAGGTTACTAATTAGGAAATTATGGATGATTGGAATACCTGATACAACACGACTGAAGTTACTTCGCCTAAATGCATCGAAATGATTAAAAAGTGATTTGGTACTCGTGTTTAATTTCTACCCTTCGAACACTTTCAGAGACTAGGGATTTTGCATTACACAAATTTACAGTTTTACATATTGTGTTTTTACATAATTTATGAACAATAAAGTAAATCTTTTATTCATCCCCATCGGAATTTCTGCCTATGTTCTGCAAATTCGCGTTTTCAAGGAAAACATAATATCCACCGTTTACATACTACCATATTTCATTCTTTTGTACAGTAGTAACCATGTATAATGTTTATACAAATTCAAATTCTTATGTAAATAATAATTTCTTACTATCACATTTGTACAGTTATAATCCTTTAGCATCAGAGACTGTTACATGCTCCCATAGTCGAGTAATGGAATTTACAAACATTATTTACATACGAATGTACGACTAAATATTACGAAAATACGACCGCGTAACGAATTCTCAAGAGAGTTTCTAACATGTTTTACTACACTTTGTAACATCCCATTCATTCATGTTCTACGTTTATCAACACAAATGACTGATGGCACACGAACGATAATGTACTATGTACACAAACTTTCGATTTCGTTCGCGTGCTTTCGAACCGTTCGAGTGTATCTTTCTCGGCAGGGTGTTGTGAAACTTCCAACGGCCGGATATCTCATTTTACGCCCTCCGTCGTTTGGCCGGCAACTGTTGTTTTGTTGTCTGTCTTGACCTCCACTTTTGGTTTACTGGGCGATGCAGTTTCATAATGCGGTAGATCAGCGTCCACTATCGGGACTTTTCGATGGTTAAGAGACCTTTAAAAGACCGACGAATGCAGGGAGCCACATGTTTCTTTACTCCCTTTGCGAGAATGTAACGATTAAGGGTGTTACAAATTGTGATCAATTTGGAAGAGCAATAGTAGTATGTACTTCCAAGTGTAACTAAATCCTTATGTTTGAATCCTTGTGTTTGAACCCTTGTGTTTGAATCCTTAAGTTTGAACTCTTGTGTTTAAATCCTTGTGTTTGAATCCTTGTGTTTGAACCCTTGTGTTTGAATCCTTGTGTTTGAATACTTGTGTTTGAATCCTTGTATTTGAATACTTGGGTTTGAATCCTTATGTTTGAGCCCTTGTGTTTGAAACTCTGTGTCTGAATACTTCCTACGTACTTTGAAAAAGGCTAATAAAGATACAGTTATTTTTTGAGGTGAAAAATTCGAGTATGATTGAAAATTAGAACATGGCTATAGAAGGCAATAATGGTTCTAGAGAAGATTAAAAAGATACAGTTGCGAATATAATTTTTGTTACATTAAAATTGAATTTACTTTAATGATCTGGTTCATACAACGTTATTCATTAATGAATACATAAAAGCATCACAAGGGGAAATACCGATTGCCAATTCACCAAATAAAACCATTTTACTATTACAGATTCGCGGTTCTTCCGTGTATCATCACGTTCTTCAAGATAAACTGGTTTTCTTTCATCCACGTAGAGAAAGATAGCCAATGAAACACGAATGACGAAACTAGCAACATCGTTACGTTCTTCCATGCGTTCGATACGTGAAAACGTTTGTCGTGGCACCCGCGATTCTCTGATTCTATACATATATAAAAATCGTATGTGCATTGTTAATATGTTGATTTTCAACAAAAAAAGTCGTAAAAATTGACAATATATTCTATGCTTAAAAGAGGTTACGAGCTAAAGAATTCCAGCGATTCACAGTATTCATCGACATTCATAATAATTCGATTAATGCAATTGTATTGATCAAATAAAGAATTGAAATCGTTCAGAGACGTTACGGACACCCTGTATAATAACACAAAAAAAAAGCAAGTAAGCCTCGGTCGAGTCGAAATGTTCCATCGATTTATCAAAGTTATTGTAACCAGTCCCAGTTACAATCGTTTCGTCTCCCCGCGTCTATTTATCACCGTTGCAATTAACAAAAGGAGGGCCCGATTACCAATTAACCATTGGCTCTCGTCGTGCTCTCGTGACCGACGCCGATAGCGATTGTATACGTCGACGATAGTAACGAAAATGTTCAGACAATCGAATTCATGATACGAGACCAGCGGCAACAGCAAAGAAAACGTGCCCACTGGACGATAACACGAAAGTGGGGAGGATCGTCCTCCGTGACGAATATATACGCGCACGGGACCCTCCTAAATTACAGTCTCGACTAGAACGAGAAGAAGAAAGCTCTCACAGTGATTATTTATCGATACCGTTCGATCCTCCTGGTTGAAGTATACGACAACTGTTTATTCGATATTATTTTTTGTAAATTATCGTGGGAAAACGTAACGAAGATGATGGCCTGGACGAAGATCGTGCTCCTTTTCACGTTGCTTTACACCGTTGCCTCTGCGCACCCTGGCCACGAAAGGTAATTTTCCCCTCTTTTGTTTTGTTATTAGTAGACAGTGGATTTTACACACTTATACGGTATATAATTGTTTAAAACTGAATATACAGAGATATTTAGTAAATTTTTATGGAGACCTTATTATTTGAGACCTAATGGAATCCTTAATAGAGAAAAGGAACTTCTATTTGTTGGCAGTTTTTTGTATAATGGATAATAAAGATTTAGATTTGCATTTAAACATCTGCTGTCCAGTTATTAGAATTGTTGCAGAGAAAGATTTCGAAGAACTTTAGCTTGTTTCTTAGCTTTTTGCTGAAAGTTTGATATTATTTTTAATACAGTATTCGATCTCTCGAGATCCTTGATCTTTAGAAAATGGACAGGTTCTGTCAAGAATTTTTTTATATTTTCGAATTGGAACTTTTATATATTTGTGATAGTGTTATAATAGGAAAAATAAGTGACCACTCTGGAGCCTACAGAAAAAGGCTTCCTCTAGAGGTTAATAGGAAATATAATTTGTATTGTTCGAATATTTACACTGCGTCGTGATCTATTTTTCGATCTACGTGTCAGTTCTACTACTCTGCTGCATAGACAAAAGTAAATGGAAACGGAGTGACTAAAGCTGCGTAATATCCTTCGTACTTGGAATCATTTCCTGGAGAAATCCGATGCTACTTTTTAATAATACATGATGTCAATTTTATTCTGTTCTGATTCGGTGTAGGTAATTTGTCGATGTGCTTGATTTAGTTCACTGAAAGAAAACGTGTGCAACCGTTGTAAATTACAGAAACCCATAAGGACACGAAAATATCAATAGCTTAGATATAAAGCAATAACTACATTTCAATTTACATTTTATAGAAATAATCGTACTAAAATTGATTTTACATGTTCTGAAATAGACTCACAAATAGCGAGAAACAAACTGGCCCGCACGACCCCTCGGTGAATTTAGTGGAAAATGAGGAGCAAATGAACGACTTCGCGAGGCAACTGAACGAGGACCTATCAGAAGCGGTTAAAGAGTGAGTTTACTTTTCGTATAATTCGGTAAAAAGCATCTTTAATATCTACAATCGTACTACTTATTTTCTATCGATCTAATAAACACAAGATTCTTTCCAAAAGAAACGAAATTTCTGTACAGACGCAATGAGATCGTAATAAAATTGTCCTCACATAGCAGAATCAAAATTTCAATTCCAAACATTTTCAAGAATCTCGATTATCATGTTCCACAAATTGCGTCTGCTATAAACGGTAATTATAATTATCTAACAATGTTTGTGTTGTAGGCGACACAAACGATTATCGGACCAAAGGCGAGCAGAACTGGAGACTCTGATGGCTCTCTCGAAAATGACGGAAAAATTGGTAACGGTGACGAGGGGAGGTCGTCAATTGGATGCATCCAAAGTGTGAGTGATATTTATTAATCTGTGGCACGATCAAACATTACAAGATTCTAAGAAAGTGACATATTTCCCCTAATTTGCCAATTGTTTTCTGCATCAGCGGCCGAAGGAAGCGGTCCGTGTTCGACATGAACATGAAGAATCTACGGAAACTCTTCAAAATGTCAGCGCGTATCGGTTACAAAGGAAACCCGGCGTATCCAGTTGTTCGGTATGTAGCTAGTTTATTTGTTATTTAACTGAACCATACACCGTTGAATATCAGAAAATGGTAGCTTGATCGTAGACGAATGACACTAAATCTTCGAACAGAAAATGTCCTTAGAGGGGATGAAAAAGTATTTTATTAAAAAGTAAACTGTAATGAAGCTGAAGAATTTTGAGGACATACTACGATTACAGATAATCGGCCGGAAGTTGTGATCGTACACGACGTACACGGATGTAATTTTTATCTCACAAGGTTACTATACAGAAATCTAGTACGCGAATAGTATTTGTATTCACAAATTATTAGTGGTAAAATTATTAGTGACGATTGAAATTATCTTGAGAATTCGTAAGAAAATCACTCCAATGAGACTCACCAGTGTTACCAACCCATATACAGTGACTCGTATTTCATTACATACTTCCAAAAGAAGAATTAAATGCAAAAACTTATTTGAAATTTCTATTTACCGATCTTCATTATTTTCACATTTATCATACACTTTAGCGATATGTTTTTCTTAGTTACGAAATGAAATTTACAGTTCAGTGCATGATTCTGTCGAATAAAGTTAACAGCCTTTCGCGAACAAATCGGTGAGTCACTGTATAATTTCAGAACGCGTAACGACTTCTCCCAATAACGTGTGTTTTCGGTGTCTCCTAATTTCAAATTGAACGTACTCTATCGATCTTTCGACCAACCTCCGTTCCCCGATACAACGATTCTATTGTCGAGCATACAGTGAATCCTCCATGAGTGTTCCAAGGCTCCTCGGCATTGACAAGGATCTATCTCTAGGTGTAGCACTGACTTTTTAATGAGCTTTAGCACAATGATAGAGCTTGGAATTCTGAAGCCAATGATATTTGTTCCAGTCGTATATGACCATTAGTTTGTGAAATATTTAATGTTCAGTTCCGAGTAGTCTTTGAACACTTATCGAGGATTTACTTTATTTAGCAATCGAAGTGCAGGCGTGTCCTCGAAAAATCACCAGTCGAAGCTTTCTTTCCCCAACATTTCGATCTCATTCAAATGGAAAAGGTTGGAACAACGAGCAATAATCGTGTACTAAAAATCATCGGAAAAAGAACGAAATTTTCGTTGTCGATTAAAAATGCTCGTCACGTGGCGATCAATGACGCACTAACCATCCGAGAACAGCGTAAATTCCTGATCGAAAACCGCTGACCAGTGTGGTCTTTCTCTATGATTCGATTTCATACTTCTTTTTCATCCGTCCGATAAGATCGACAGTCGAAGAAGATCGTTGATTGAAGAAGAAGAAAAAAAAATCTCGAAATTGGCGACGCAAACGTGTGCCCGAGACGGAGAAGCGTGGACGGGACACCATGTGTTGCGTGATGTAAGACGAGCGACTTGATAGTCCAGATAAAATCGTTGTCGAGCCCGGTGCCCGCGACGAACTCCCGGCATCTTATCTGGCTCCGATGTGTCGCAATTATATACATTATACACACTGATCCGCATCAGAAATAATTCGACCGACGCTCTCTGGGCTGTAATCGAATCGAGCACGCGGCACGCGAGGCGTTCGAGGCTGATTATAGCCGATCTTACTCGCGCGATTCACCCTCTGCTCTTTGATAAACATAATAATAATAATAGTAGTAGCAATAATAATAATAATAATAATAAGAGTAATAGTAATAATAAGATATCACAGTAACAAACAAGCAAGATAACATACTTAATCGACCTAGGAATACCAAACGACACAAATATTATACAAAAAGAACAAGACAAGATTATAACATACACGCCCTTTGCAATAGAAGTGAAAAGACTGTAGAAACAAGACACTTTATATATATTATATTATCGTATCTTATATATTATACGTATTTGTCAGTTCTATTTATCCAATTACATATGTTCGTCTACTATTTTTCAATACTGAATCGTTAATAGGTATTCAATAATTCTAACGTAGATAGAACTTTGACCTGTTAACCGGAAAATCAGGTGCAATCGTCATCTCTCGTAAAAATCTGTCGTGAATATAGAATAAGCCAATCGGTTCACGCACAGGCATGTAATATGAATTTTTTTTGTTCAGCTAAACCATTTTTATAACTTCGTTTTTTCATTCGAGATACATTCACGTTTATTTCGAATCATATTGAAAAATGATTTTATTTATTTATGCTTGCAGTTGATGTCATGGAACGATATAGAAAACGTTGACGTGAATCAGACTTGCCGAAGAAAGGTACACTAAATTAAAAAGGATGACCCTGGCACGAAAGAAAGAAAGAATGAAAGAAATCTTGTTCGATGTACTAGTCCGTCCCGAGGAACAATCGACGAATCAGGAATTATGTAGGTGTTCTATTGAAAATCAGTATGTCGACCATCCATTGTGTATCGTACACAACTACGACAACTACACGATATATTTATTTAATCTATACAAAAAGATATAGAAAACCCTTTGTAAGATATTTTTTTTTACTATTTTCTATACCTAAATAAATTATAAGCACATATTATTTATTACATGGCGATTGTTTCTCATTATTAGATAATCCAATCCTATAGTCCGATAATTATATCGATTTTATAGAAAAACAGTTCAGTACATAACGACACGCGTGCAGTAAATAATTTATTCGTGCAAACTTTACAAATTAATATTTAACTATTCTTAAGCGTTCTTCTTCATAAAGGATGTATAAAAACATGACATTCAGAAAATGACGGGAAAACTGCAATATCGACAAATTGCCAAAATATGGTAGCCACCTAGTGGCGGGAAATGGAACTATATAAATAGATTCAGTAGGCATTCGATTCCCGCACGAGTCAGGGGCTGTAGAGGGCTAAATTTCTGGGGTAACGTCACCCATTCCCATTTTAGTTTCACCACAGACGAGATATAAGAATAGACCTAACATGCAATGTAATTTTCTGTCCCACGTTCATAGGGGTACGTAACCCTGTTACCATTGTAGTGTCAATACCTGAAGTTACCGATAAAGCATGAATTCTGAATATTATTAGCACAAATGAAGTGTTATATATGCCATTCATATTGCGTGTATCTCTATGATTTGACGGGAATAAAAATATCCGATGCATCAGTTTAAGGTTAAGGGAAAAATATGACAGTCATGAAACATTAAACGGATAAGTATATATTTTTTCACTTTACAAGACAATTTATTCTAAATGTATCGTTAATGGACATTTTATTAATGTTACCTTCTACATGTTCTTGTTTTATTCGTTTTTATATCTTGCCTTACATTTGTATATTTGTAACAGATAAATTCAGAAAGATGTAGTTTCATAAATAGTCTATCAAATCTACCTTTTAGCCGGCGGCTTACAATTTCCCTTGCGGGAATGCCTTACCGTAATGAGCCATCTCGTAGCCGTGGGGATTCCAGGAATCGGGTGACGTCACGGCGTGCGAGCGAGAGCGGTAGAGCGAGCCGCGGTATCGGTGCTCTCCGTCGGTGTTGACGGGTGCCGAGGAATTTCGGTGGTCTATGGGAGGGAGGTGTGCGAGCGAGAGAGTACGGTAGAGCGTGCCGAGTATCGGTGCTCTCCGTCGATCCAACGCGCTAGTGAGTTGCGTCAC